CCCTCTCTACAGCTAAGATGGTGAACAACAGCTCAACCTGGAGCTGAGCTGCCGTGAGTCACCTGCGACAGTGTAGGCTGCAGCCACTACTGCAGTGGGCTGCTGTAAGCTACTATGAGTGGCTGGCAGCTAGCGTGAGCAGCCGGCAGCCGATGTGAGCTGCCAGGAGCCACTGTGAGAGGCCGTCCAGTGGCCTATCTGCCTCATCAGGGAAGAGCGCAATGATAATACCAACATGGGCCACTGAAGTGACATTCTCCACAACTAGGCTGAAGAACAAAAGGACAGCAACTTGTCTGTTCCCCTTCCCCGATTCTTCAACACTGTTCCTCTCCCCCAATTCCCCAATAAAATCTTTAAAAAAATAATAAAAAAATAAAAGGATCATTCTGGCTACTCTTGAGTAGTAGGGTCAAGGGTGGAAGCAGGCAGCCCAGTAATCCCAGTGAGAAGTGATGGGGGTAGCTGTGAAGTCAGTGAGAGGTAGTCAGATTCTGCATGTGTTGCGAAGGTAGAATCAACAGACTTCGCTGACAGGTTGGATGTGGGCTGTAAAAGAAAGGAAAATTATTCAAGAATTGGATAAGATAGAGTTGCCCTAGGCGGAGATGAGGAACATTGAGGGAGGAGCAGGTTGGGGGAAGTGTAGGAGACATGACTAGCATTTCCACTGGGAACGTGTTAGATATCATAAACTTATTAATAAGACACCCAAGTCAAACAAACAAACATTTGTCACATGGTTGGTGACTAGCAGAACTGTGAGTCAAAATCTGATTTGTCTTCTTAAGCCCATGCACAACCAACCTTGTCCTTCTTAAGGAAAGAATGTGAGGCAAGTAGGAGGCTGAGATGGAGTAAGGGATGATGCACCATGCGGGAAAATATCCTGGCTTTGGAGGAAGAACATACCTTGACAATGTAAGAGGCCAAGGATCCCTTCAAAGGAAAAATACCATATACCAAAAATATCAGCAGTGATGACTATTGTTGAGAAATAAGTAGATCTGCACAAACTGAGAAATTCAGGAAAGCAGCTTGTAGACCTGGCCAAACCCAACTGTTTATCTCAGGGTTTTCTAGACATCAGGAATCCTTGACCACAGTTACATCTCACCTGTACTGTTAATTAATATTATCCATTTTATCAACTCATGCTTTTACCAACTTGATCCTAAGCAATAATATACATGAAATTATGGATCGATGTGCTAATTACTTACATAACACATGACAATGAACACTTTTAAATACTTATCTGCGTACCTTCAATCATCTCATTTTCCACCTGCTGTACAGATTTTATAATTTGTACACTGTTATGTCTAGAGCTGTAACTTGAAAAATACTACCTTGAAAACATTTTCACAGAAGAATAAAGGACCCAAGGACAGTAGAAAATGAAGCCCAAGGTGAAAGATATGGCAATAGTCATAAAATTCTATACAAAAGAGAGACTAAATCATGCAGGTATGTATTCTCATTATGAAAGAGTGCTGTAATTGTTTGTTCAGACAATTAGTTCCTCAAATTTACCACTGAACTGATGAAAGGTGTAATTCTTGTGATCACCTATTTCTCTTTGCTCTGATTTCATGAGTAAAGCAAGATGTTCAAAGGTGAATTTCCTCTCTTTCGTTTTGGGGAAGGGTCCCTGAAAAACAGGCAGCTGCCAATATGAATTCCTGTCCACCTAAGCAGGACTTGTTCAAAAAGGATGAAACCCTGAGTTCTAGTCCTAAGGCCTTCGTCTTTGAGAGTAAGGAAAATAAACAAGCATGTTCTGTCTCATCATAAACATCACAGAGGGGTTAGAGCATAACTAGGTGCCATATTGACACCTTGATGAGCAGAATCGGTATCTCTATTAAAATAATTTTTACCTTGTACAGTGTTCTATGCTGTATATTTTACATACATATACATATTCCATATTAAATTCTTCTTACAAAGCTGTTATGTATGTATCATTGTTATCAGTAGCTTGCAGATTAGAAGACAGAAGCATAGAGAGGAATAGTAACTGACCGTCTCTTAGAGTAAAAGTTTCAAATAGAGAGTTATGACTGGAAACCGGACAAGCTATTCAAAATCTACACTGTTCATCACTGTACCACAAAACTTATATTATCACTTTATTTACAAAGATTCCAACCTACATATGTGATTAATAAATTTCCTGTGAGCCCTGAGATCTCAGGGTTAATGCCTCCATGTGCTAAATATGCAATGGGTCAATTTTACTTGAACACAATCTTCCCATTTTTTAGGAAAACTCTTTGTATCATCCCTCTTCAGACATACCTGTCCATAATTCTGTCTGAGTTTTCTTTCTCCCCTCTCCACAGAGGGAAAGAACTTCTTATAATTGAGAAAAAGAAGAAATGCTCATTCTTTTCCTGTGACATTCCAGAAACTTGATCACAGAGGTCAAGTTGTGCTGTTGTTCAATGGACTTCAGAGGAGATATGTAGGAGCTCCTATACAAAATTTAGAAGGCAGAATTGGGGCCACCCTGCTGACTCCAAAAGACCAGGGAGAGCCCAGCATACCACATGTCTTTGAAACTTAGGCATAGTTGAATCTCACTCCATTCACTGAAGTTCACTTACCCTGCATCATGTTATTATGACAGTCCTTCCAGCAGTACCAGCAAGCAGTGTGTATTGTTGTTCCCATACACAGCTCCTGCATTAGGAAAGCCATGTGCAGGAAGGCACTGACAGTTAGCATGTCCCTATCAGCAGGTTAAGGGCAGACATTGCAAGAGTACCCTGGGCTGAAGAAATTGCAAGCGTTCACTATCATATTTTTGCACATGGGCCCTTGTTAAAGGAGACATTGACAAACGCTGAGGCCAATGTTCTCAATGTGGTTTTCACCACAAGTGCAGAAGTCTTTTCCTGGGACAATATCTTACAATGTTTCTAGATTTCAAAACGTGACTTAATAATACTTGGGCATAATTCTGGCTGCTCCTCTCAGTGGAAGTACAGAGCAGGTCTAGAAATGGGCACTAAATTGGTCTGCAAGGGAGGTTGTGCTAATGAAAAAACAGAAAGAGCCCATGAGAAGTTTATTTTGTTTATGAAAGACAAAATTACACCCAAGTTACAGTGTGTTTTAATTAACATGGTTGTAGAGTTATTCCTGCTTTACATAAAGAAGTCTTCTCCAACAAAATCTTAAATATCAAACTATTGGGTTGTCGAAAAAGTCATGACGTATCTTTTCTATGTTTTTCGTTGCAAAAATGCATCATAACTTTTCCGACAACCCAATAGATCATTTGCCCTAGCTTAGAGGCAAAGAAGGGTAGTTGACAAAGCATAGAGGAAATCTAAGGAGGAAACGATCAGAAAAATCCTAGAAGGCGCGCTCTGAATACAATTTTAAAGTAAAAGCATGGTTTGAACCTGGGCAGGGTTTATGGGAGTCACTTCTCAGGACACTTGTAACATGCCTGATAGGTCATGAACACATTGTCTGCAGGAGCCAGGCAGATGCCATCACTGAGTGAACAGACAGGACCTGAATCTGTAGAGAGAAGTAAAGTGAGTGGAGACCCCTGAACTATTGCCTCTTCAACAGAGTCAGTAGCTACTTAGTTCTAACTGATCCCTTATGACAATGGAGACTCAGTGCGCCACTTAACATTTCCCGATTTTTAAAAATGAGATAGGAATGTAATTTTTGTGCGAATGATCCCAATTTCAAAAGTTAACATCCAAAACCCAATATTACAAGTAAAACTGCATATGCTGACAGAATAGTTTTTTGGCCAGATAACACGTCCTGTGACTGCAGTGTATCTTCTTTACCTCATATATCAGACACTTGACTATAGGTCTTTCTACTCACTGTGTCTGTGAGCAACACAGAGGAGTGACACTACATCTAATTCATTTTTATGTCCTCATCACCTATAAAAATGATTGCCACAAAACAGACACTTAAAAAAAAACTTGTTTCATGATAAAAGATATTGATGAATTTCAGCAGGAACAGAATTTTAAGGCAAAGTGCTATTATCTCTGCACTGGGTCCTCACCAGGTCACCACTGTGTCTGTGTTGACATAAGAACATCAACGGTAAAATTATTGTATTTCCAGATGACAAGAATATAGAAAGGTAGTGAAAAATGATCCAAATTATTTTGGTTGGAAACTTATATGTTACCATTTAAGGGTCTAATCCAGTTTTCAAACATAGAATGTGGACTAAAAATTTAATAATTTAACATCTCTTAGTTTGAGGACTGCCCACTGGGATATCTGTCCCCGACAAGCACAGTTATCTTTAAATGACGCCACATGTTGATTCTGTAGCAGATCTTACAGAAAGACTTTCCTCTGGATGTTTTCAAGTTATGCACCTTCCCAAAAAAAGAAGGAAAAATCAAGCCAGTGTTAAAACAAGTGAAAGTGAATCCAATCTAAAAGGAGCAAGTAAAAAAACCTCAAAGATACATAAGAAATCACTATGTACCTTCAGGATTTTGAGCAACAAGAAACTCAGAGCTCAGGTGTGCAGCGCAGGGAAATGATGAAATGAAGAAGGTTTGGGTGAGAGAAAACCAGGGAGCTCAAACAAATGAAGGGAACCTGGATCCCTCCTGTGCAGACAGCCCTCTTGGCTCTATTTGTTCCAAGAACTGGGCCTGACTTTCTGTACTTCGGTTCCTCAGTGCCTGCCCCAAGTTAAGTTATAAACTCTAGGGCCATTCTGCAGCCAGTGTGCAGTTTTCATCAATGGAGACTAGATGCATTGGCTGAGATCTGCCTTCACGGGATGCCTGCAATTAGAGTTGTACCACAGAAGCAGCAGAGGTCTGTCGTTGGGTATGTGATGATCAGCAAATGACAAAAAAAAAACAAACACTCATTGCAAAAGTGGGTCACATGCCAATTTGTGGGTGACTTCCCATCTTAAACTCAGGCCCCTCTTGGTTCTGCCAGCCCCACCCACAGGGCATGCTCTATATATCCAGTCCCCAGGCCTGGCGAGACCAGCTGACCCTGAATCCCCACTGGATGACCAACAGGATCTGTGCTCACAGCAGCCACAACACAGAGACTGGGTAAGACAATGAGCCCCTGGAGCTGGGAGGGGAGATACTGTGATGGGACAACTACTGAGGGAAGGCTAAGCTGAGGTTAATGCCCAGTACTTGACAGACTTGGAGGAGCTGAGGGAAAAGGAAATAGAACCTCAGTGACTGCAGGGGGCCCTGCGGGGTGAGAGATGAGGTGGTGTGTCACTACTGGCCTGGATGCAGGAGATTCTTCTCTTTTTACAGGAAACATGGTTCCAAGACAGCGGGATTTCCGGCTCTGTCTCTTTCTGCTGCTGGGGCTCTTGGGGATGGTAATCTCCTTCCATGGAGCACCCAGTAATTACACCCCGGCTCAGTGGTTTGAATTTCAGCACATAAATATGAGCAGCAATCGTTGCACCATCGCAATGCAGGCAATTAACTTTTATTATCTTCCTGCTAAAGGGAACTGCAAACCAAAAAATACTTTCCTCCATACAACTTTAGCTGCTGTAGCTCATGTTTGTACCACCCAAAACGTAACCTGCCCTACAACCCACGCTACAAATTGTCATAATAGCTCAATTCCAGTGGCTGTAACCAACTGCGACATCACGAGGTACTCACCAAGTTATATGAACTGCAGCTACCATCCAAGCAGCGCACAGAAGATCTACATTGTTGCCTGTGACTGCAGAACTAATAAAGACAATCCTAGATACACGCAGGTTCCAGTTCACTTGGATTGGCTCATCTAAACTCTGGGTCAGCACTTTGTGCCAAGCCCCACAGCCACAGCCAAGGTCACATCCCACCATATGCCCTGGATAGCAGCATCAGTCCTCATCTCCAGCCTCCCAAACCCCCTTTAAGCCTTGCTTAGCTGAAGCTCCTGTTCTCCTACAATAAACTTCTTTGCAGAATCACCTACAAGTCTCTGTGTCTGTTTGGGCCCCTCTGCTGTCATGTACACAGCCTGGTCTAGAGAATTTGTCCTTCCCTTAATATGAGATTTGAGGGAAATAGAGAGACATGAGAATAAGGGGTTCCTGGTAAAATTAAGTGACACAGACTTTTCCCTCTCTCTGCCTCAGGTTGAAACCTGAGAATTCAACTGATATCTGAGTATTTCCACCCCAAGAGGTAAATGGTCCCAGTTAAATAAATGGGAAGCAAATGTCTTTGATCCTGTCTTATTAATGAATTATAAATTTTATTATACATGTGAATTTCTATTGTAAAAAAAAAAAAGAAAAGAAAAGAAAAGAAAAATATGCCATAGGTGATGAGCCCCAAAAAAGAAAAAGAAAATTTGGGCCTTAGAGATGTTTTCCTGTAAATGAGTATGTGAAGTCTGCCGATATTAGTGGTTACACTAAGGCTGGATCCAGGGTTTGAGTCTATGAGAAAGGAGATCAGTTGTTCAGGTGTATATGGGCAGGTTCCAGCAGTGCCTGGAGCACGTGGGATCTTTCCTGGCCATGTCTATGACCAGGAGAATGGGGCAGCTGGTCATGTGGTGCTGGAAAGGCAGGGAGGAGACAAGAACCTGGGATCTCATCAGAGTGAGGCAGCTCTTGCCCATTCTGACCTCCACAGCTATCTCCAAGGGGGAGTCAGTGGCTCATTGGCACTCAGGTCAGGAAGGGGCACAGGCTCCAAGATTCGAGAATTGCAGAGCCACAGAAAAAAAGGGCTGGTAATGCAATCCCCTGCCCCATTTAAATTACAAGACTACACCCATAATCAATGATGAACAGGAAGTGAAAGCCCATTGCTAACTGTTGTCAGGAGCAGCGTTCAAGTGATGGTTTGGGTGACAGAGTGTCTGACACAGGCATGTCAGCAAACACTACCTCTCTAGGATTCCTGATGTCCTTTTTTCAGCTCCTCTTCCAGGCCCAAAAGTGTAGCAATTTCCATCCCTCCCGCATCCCTTATGGTTAGAAATTCTTCCTCTGTAGTACTTCGGACAGTAGCTACATGCCAGCGACTCCTCTAGAGAAGTCATTGGGGTTTTGCTCCTCCAGGTGGGTTTGTTGACTCAAAGAATTGCATGGGGACACTGGGTTTGGGAAATTCCTGGGCTCCACAGAATCCACTGAGATGAGCTAGCTCTTCCAATAGCCTTGGAGTAAGAGACAAGGAGGCAGGAGCCACCTGGCCTATGAAGAGCTATGCAGTGAACGCTCCTGGCCTCAGTTACCAGATAATATGTCTCTTCCCAGACATGGACACAGCATCTCCAATATCATACGATAGAGCGATCGATCACTCACCCACCTGCCAAGCTCCCTCTGCCTCGTGTCCTCATCTCCTACACCATCATTCACTCATTCATTCATTCATTCATTCATCCAGCAGCTATCTATTGAGCAGATACTGTGTTGCAGACACACTTCTAAGGTGGTCACGACACTAAGTGAACAAGGGCAGGTTCCTGCCCTATGGTGCCTTTTTACCAGGAAGACAATAAAAGTATACAATTCTTTTTCCAGGTGATGTGTCAGGAGACAGATTACAGAGATCAACGCAAGGCAGAAGGTCTACATGAGTTCATCAAGTTGATTCTGAAAAGTGGGGCCAGGAAGGGCCCAATAGGGGAATGAATTCTGAACATGAGCAGAAGAAACTGGTCATGCAGAGACCAGGAAGAGACTCATCTCACCATGAGAGAGGAGGGGAGAGAGAGGGAGAGAGAGTGAGTGAGAGAAAGAGAGAGAGAGAGTTCAAAGGGCCTGACTTGAGTATAGACGGGGCATTTTAGAAAGATAAAAGTTAAACTAGCAGAACAAGTGCATTATAACCATGGACATTAATGATAAGGTTAAGGAGGGTCAGATGCTTCATACCTGTGCAGACACAGGTAAGGAGTAATTTCTTATGGGGTACAAATGGAGCATGTTAAACACTAGATAATGTGACCAAGGTCAGTCTAGCTGCTGTGTTGAAAGTGAAGATTTGAGAGACAGGAGTGGAATTGATGCTAACAGTCAGGAGCTCCCAGTGTCCAGGCCAAATACTAGAGGCTTGAACGAGGGTAATCATAATAGAGCAGAAAAGAAGATGCAGATTTAGGAAATGTTTTCAAGGTTGCAACATCAGGCCTTAACGACAAATTAAAAGTGGAAGAAGAGTGAAACAGAGGAGGCTTCCCATCTCAGTAAAGCGCAGTCATTCTCTGTCTGGAACCCCATCCCAAAGCCCTCCCCATGGCCATGCCCTACCTCCTGCCCCACCATGCCTTCCCCACCTTCTTGCCAATCCCATGTTCCTCCTCTTCCCTGGTCCTACAAGAGCCAGCTGGGGACTGTGCTGAGGTCAGAGAGATCTGATGGCCCTAGAGCTCAGAGGCAGCTCTTCCCTGCCAAGCAGGTGGATGATTCAAAGCAGAGCAAGGCAGGCCCTGTGCTCAGAGATGAAGAATTCGACACTTGGCTCACACCAATCTGAGCAATAGACATCAGAGATCTTCTGGTTGCACTGAACCCAAGTTTAGCACCTTCATGATCACTGTCACAGAAGTTAACTGTTCACGTCAGCATATTCTGAGGACACATTCTTTTGAGTGCATTGTATTCTGAAGCCTCTATTACTGACTTTATAAAATGCTCAGAATGCTACCACCTCCTCAAAGAATCTTGGGGGAGTAAATGCAGTTAATGGTTGTATCACACTCCGTAAAGACCAACATGAAGTGAAAAGGCAGCTCGCATTGCTATTGTTTTCACTTTGTTTTATGTTTTAACATCAGGAACATTGCAGGACACCTGCCTCTGTGGACACAGCACGGGTTGGTCTGGATTAATCTTCAGATCAGGGAGAGGTCAGGTCAGAGGACACTAAAGGAGATAAATCCAAGCTAATCATTGTGACTCTGTTTTGCCTGATATTGAGAGAGTAGGAACTGTGTTTCCATTTCAATTCCATAATGCAATGAGGTAATGAGTAGGAAAGAGACCACAGAAATTCTGTTCCCAACCCTAGTTCAAGCTATCTATGAAAAATAGCCTTTTTCCTGATCTAAAATTTATTTAGGTTAATAAATTTCCCTCTTGAAATGCACATAGAAATATGGCCGATTTAACTGTCACTTGTGTCTCAGGCCTGAGTTATAATAATCCCATAAAAAGATTAATGCCTATTTCAACATTCCCAGCATTTCAAAGGTATATTGGATTCTAAACGGGTGATACAAAACTTTAGTAAATAGGGATAGCAGGGTGATCCATGAAAACCAGCACATTGAGTAGATTAAATCCACATCACACATTCTCACTGAGTTAGAAAATGTGACCCATGTTTCTCCATCTAGACATTATCAAATCTGACACAGAACACCAGGACCAACAAACACCAGGTCAGTGCACTTCTGAATTAACCAGAGAGTCGATCTCACCTGTGAAAACAAGTTTGTCTGGAGTGGAGCCAAGACTCAGGGCATAGCTATTAACGAGTGAGAATAAATCCTTCATTGGCTTTTTAACATGAGAGAGCAATTTGCTTCAACCTTTTTAGTCATGAGCAGTAATGTCAAATCAAAGGTAACCCAAACCCAGTAGAGTACTAGAGTAAGTCATTAATATATCTGTTTGAATGGTTTTTAACAATTTGGACAGTTTTCTTTTGCACAAATTATATTTCTGTCATGACTACAGATGTATTGTGTAGTGGCTTAACTGACCCCTCCAAATTTAGAAGTCGTGGTTGGTGCTTTTGTCACTGTTGAAATCTAGACTCTCAGAACAAGTACTTCATAAGGCAGTTGCTGTGCCTTCTCAGTGAGGGCAGGGCCACAACTGAACATGCTTCCATGAACTCAAACTCTGCAGTTTTCTACATGCAACGAAGGCTCAGGCATGATTCAGCTGTCACTCAGCGGAACACGAGGATGGCATATCAGTGATGCACACATGCACTGAGTGTCTTCTAAGGCATCTTAAAAGAGACCATGGAAAGTGTTCACTGTTTTCAACTTTATTTGACTTCTCAGTGCAACAGTTCCCGATCTGAGACTCCGGCAGAGT